CCCCCCCCCCCAGTGGCACTGCGGACTTACAACGCTAGAAACCGGGTTTCGATACCCGTGGTGGGCAGAGCACCCTTTATGTAGATTTGTGCTTAACTACAAACAATCGTTTTTTAGTTTTGAGTTTTTTGCCAATTTGTTATATCGATAGTCTCCTGATCAATGTGGAGTAAGATTATTTTTTTTCAGTTCTAAATATAGTTTATACATCTATAATTTGGTTGTAGCTCTAGATTTTCTGGGAAAGATCTTCTTTTCACAACATTTATTGAGAAAATGTAAATCTTGAAGTTTATTCTGAAGCGACAAGCGTAGCTGGGTAAACCTCTTCATTAGACAAATGAAAATGTACAGCAATGTTGTTGTTTCCTGATATATTAAGATATACCTTTATCTAATGATATCCTAATACTGCTTGGTATTAAACAAAATAAGTTTTGTTTTAAAACGTCATAAAATTAAATCAGGTTATAATCTAGTAAACAAACTTGCAAATAAAGATAAGATAGAAGCATACTTTAAACAAAGTCTTTATTCCATTGCATCTTGTATAGTAGAGGGGTGTGCTTGCTTTACTTGTATTTTCAGTTGTGGACTGTCCAAGGCGTCTACAAACTGATCCCTCAGCAACAACTTGAGGACATCGAGTAGTGCAGTTGGGTAGGTCTTGTGTGCCATACTTTCCAAATCCTGTGCCAGCTCTGTTGCAGGTTCTCCCCTTTAGCACGGACTCTATTCCTAAACCTAGCCCTGTAGACTTCAGACTGATTTTGGGTTCCATACCTGAGTTCTAGAGCCGCTACCAGTGCTCTATAGTTGTGCCTGTCTTCTGCTGACAACTGTCCAAGTATTTCCAGTGGTTGTCCCTTCAAGCTCGTTGCCAGGTACACTGCTTTCTGCTCGTCTGTCCACCCATTCATTTCTGCCAGGAGCTCAAATTGTGCTCTATATGCTTCCCAGGGTGCCTTCCCATCGAATTCCTGTGGCTTCCTTCGCACTAGATCACCCCTATTGCTGACACTCGGGTCTGGAATGTGACTTCTGGCAGGATTGAAGATGTCTGCATTAGGGTTTAACTGCGGGGTCTGGAAGGGGCTTCTTGTTGTCTGGGGCTGATTAGATACATGGTTAATATATCCTCCTTGTGTAAAAGACAGTAAATCATTCTTTAATGTATTTAATTCACTTTGAAATTTACTAATCTTTTCCATTTGTGTACTCTGGCTTTCTCTCAAATGTTGGAGACTTTCTTCTTGTTTATTTTCTTTCTCCTCCATCCACTGCTGTAGTCTCTCTTCTTGTTCATTTTCTTTCTTCTCCAACCACTGCTGTAGTCTCTCTTCTTGTTTCTTTTCTTTCTTCTCCAACCACTGCTGTTCTTGTACTGCTGCCATCGAATCGTCTACGTCGTAGTATGATTTGCCAATTCTCGTTTCCATTTTTTTTCTCTATCCCACTCTCTGACACCAATTTGTTGCGTATCTGCTCGTTTTTTAATTTCTGGTATAAATTCTTTCCGAGGAACTTCAGCGATATAAGTCCTTTCTTGATTAAAACTAGTTTATTCTTTCTCGATACAACTTTGCAATACACATAATTTCCACAGTCACTTTAAACTTAACAACCTTTATAGCACACGCTATAAATCACAGTGATTCACACACTTTACTTACGGTTCCTACTGTTGCTTGACTCAATTATCTCTATCTTCGATCTATCTCTCGCTGGCTTTATTTGCCGGGTTTATATACTAAAAAAGAGAGCGCCTGGCAAACACTCGGACATTCGTGGGGTTCCTCGATAAGTCATGATCCTTCTAGAAACTCAAGCGCGCATACTCCCAGTGTAGCGTGACTTCCGCTGTCGTAACAATACCAAAGTTAAAATACAACAACATTTGAATGTAAAAGCTGTCTGTTGAAGTCTAATTTCAGATGTATGATTGCCGATATAGATGCAGCCTTTCATTGTCAGAAATGTTATATAATATGAACAAACGACGGCCGTTAGGTTGATATTTTTTATCCAGGGAAGCAAGAAATATTTATTTTCCAATACATCAGGTCACTTGAACCGGCACAAACTAGTTTTTGTGGGGGAACATCAGTTTAGCCTTCCCCCAACTTAATGCCTTTTCTCTTGCTAAATATTTCTACCTTCAGTAATAATAGCTGTAACAACTACTTTCTGAGCGATACACAAAATTAAAATTTCAATTTAATTTTACGAAATTATTTTCACTGAGTGGAAGAAGATCAGTTTCAAAGCAAAGATTTATAAGAAAGCATTATCTCTATTATTTTGTTGCACATCTCTTAGGAAGCATAGTTTAGTTGCCTTAAATAATAGGGAACAATAATAACAAAAACTTCTTAAGTTTGTTTGGTTTTGAATTTCGCGCAAAGCTACACGAGGGCTATCTGCGCTAGCCGTCCCTAATTTAGCAGTGTAAGGGAAGGCAGCTAGTCATCACCATCCACCGCCAACTCTTGGGCTTCTCTTTTACCAACGGATAGTGGGATTGACCGTCACATTATAACGCCCCCACGGCTGAAAGGGCGAGAATTTTGGTGTGACAGGGATTCGAACCCGCGACCCTCAGATTGCGAGTCGAGTGCCTTAACCACCTGGCCATGCCGGGTCGTACACTTAAGTTTAAGTAATTCTGTAGCATAATAATGTAGTATCGCATGTAGAGTGGAGTGTTTAGCCCCACTACCTGTTGGTTCTATGATTGTAGTATCGCATGTAGAGTGGAGTGTTTAGGCTTACTACCTGGTGGTTCTATGATTGTAGTATCGCATGTAGAGATAGAACCACCAGGTAGTGGGGCTAAACACTCTACTCTAGATTGTAGTATCGCATGTAGAGTAGAGTAGAGTGTTTAGCCCCACTACCTGGTGGTTCTATGATTATAGTATCGCATGTAGAGTAGAGTAGAGTGTTTAGGCCCACTTCCTGGTGATTCTATGATTGTAGTATCGCATGTAGAGTAGAGTGTTTAGGCCCACTTCCTGGTGGTTCTATGATTGTAGTATCGCATGTAGAGTAGAGTGTTTAGGCCCACTTCATGGTGGTTCTATGATTGTAGTATCGCATGTACCGTAGAGTGTTTAGGCCCACTACCAGGTGATTCTATAATTGTAGTATCGCATGAAGAGTGTTTAGGCCCACAACCTGGTGATTCTATAATTGTAGTATCGCATGAAGAGTATTTAGGCCCATTACTAGATTGTTCTATGATATTGGGCTTTGGAATTAATTTCCTCTCGAGCAGCAACTTTAAGGTTGCTTGAAGAAATAAAAAAGACACCAGAATACAAAGACACAAATATATTTAATAACAACACGATAATTTGTTGAAACTTTGTTGAATTGACGACAACTGCCTGTTGTAGAAACACAAGTGTAGAGAACGACGTTTCGAAATTCTTCCGCATTTCATCTACTTTCATAAAAGAACCTGCTCATGGTACTGCGTGTTCTCCCCCATGCAATTTATACTAAAGAAAAATGAGATATTAAATGAAAATGACCCCACTTAAGTTAAATAAAATAAGCAAAACTGTGAAATCTAAATCTCAACAAAAGAAATAACTTTAAAAATTTATGTGTTGAGCTACACGTAAAACTGCTTCAACTGGAAGCTTTATACTCATTCCCTTACTGCCAATCTAAACAAAACACTGCTTCAAGAGCCTTACTGGTGCTCCCTCAAATGATAGTGAACGTTAAAGCAACGCTGTGTCATAAAAAATGTTACGAGTTCTCGAGAAACTAATAAATGGAAAAGGAACATACGAACCTGTATTCACACTGAAACTGTTAGGAGAGTTCCCTTAAGGTTAAAGAACATACAAATCTAGGTTACACGAAATGAAGAGTATACAAATATATCATTTCTTGAGCACAAACTTTACCTTAAATATGCCAATAAACATCAGCTCCTTAGCACATAAAACACCATAATTTGCATCCGTGTACAGACTAAGGATTGGTTTGTTTTGTTTTGAATTTTGCGCAAAGCTACACGACGGCTATTTCCGCTGGCCGTTCCTAATTTAGCAGTGATAGACTAGAGGGAAGGCAGCTAGTCAACACCATCCTCCGCCAGTTCTTGGGCTACTCTTTTACCAACAAATAGCAGGATTGACCATCACGGCTGAAAGGGCGAGCGTATTCGTTGACGGGGCTTTGAACCCGCAGAGTGAAAGTCGAGCGCCCTAATCATCAGGCCCCCAGACTAAGAACGTGACTGCCTGTATTTTGCAGACAAATACTTTCACTATTCTTGTAAGTAAACTAGATAAATGGGCCATGACCTTCACACAGTTCCAGCACACAAGTCAAGAAAGCTAAACTTAGTAACTTGCTCTAGCGCCTCACTCTGTCCACAATGGGAACTACAAAAAATATAAAAAATGTGAAACACATATAGCACGTCCCCATACTACAATAGTGATAACTTGGGAAATCACTCCTACTATCTATATGCGTGAAACTGTTATTTTCATTTGTCAGAAGAGACAATTTTATATTAAATCATGTGTACATGAATAAAAATAATATGAGACTATAACATGCCCAAATCAGGACATATTTTTCACTGTATTATTAAAATGGTAGATTTTAATTGTTTCCATCATGTATTGTTAAGAGCTGATAATGTTACTTGATTCCTGTATTAAAGGACCGGAAAAATGAGCTTCACACTTTGGGTGTGCTATAAGATTGACGGTCAAATCCAATTATTGCATCAGATAAGAGAATTCCAAGAGCTGTTGATGGTTGACTTCTGTCTAGTCTATCACTTCAAATTTGCAAGGCTCTGTGTAATTCTGTGCGAAATTTTGAAACAAAGAATCTGAATCAGAAAATTCGTAACGAAGAGATTTGATCACGATGTTTTTATGTTAATTTATAGGCTATTACAGTATTGTAATGAGACTCGTAGAGTGAACAAGAACAAGGTATTTTTAAATCACATTCTGTATTCACAGGTCCTGGTGGCACTTTAGAAGAGACTCGATCATGCAAGATGGAGTCATCTGATCAGCTCTATGATACTCATAAGGACAGCGTCTCCCATAATTCCTGTTCCACTTCCTCGAGTACTATTTTAACAACGTCTCAGCCAATCAGCAGAGTCATCAACAGCACACCGATCTTGAATGTCGCTAGTGCTGCCATCAGACGAAAAAAGTTTCAATGTAGAATGTGTCCGCAGGTAAAATATTATGAATATTTTACTCGTTTTGTCATAATGTGTAATATTAATAGGATTATCTAAAACAGACTAATGATTTTGGAATAAAAATTACATAAACTTAAGATGTTGTTTTCTTCACATTTCGTTTAATTTGCCCACTTCGGTTTTCAAATTTTCATCACAAATCTTTAGATTTTGTAGTGCTGACTGGATTATTTTAAATATTGTTATGATTACAGCATCATTAGGGCTTACTATTGAAATACTGAAACGTTGGTTCAATTAAATAAACTATTTCTGGAGTATTGTAATAATTTATGTATATATATACTAGTTATAATAATTTTTCATCACAAATGTTGGCAATTGTTTTCTAATGCTTCGCCAGCTTTCGGCATTTGAGCCTATAACATATATTTTAAGAACCTATAAAGTTTTCCAGCTTTATTCCATCGTTTAATTACATAGGTTGAATAGCAGTGCCACCTAGTTGACCGTCATAATTTATTAGACTACACAAGTCGTTATATATATCAACGGACATATAACCAATCAAAATATTAAATATATGCTGCTTGGAAAACTAAAACATCCTAAGTGGAACGTCGTAAATTTGTTTTAATAGTCAACTTATGTATCGTTATAGCTGAGCTGCATACACCTGTAAAAATTCGGGTTTCGATCCCGTAAGTTAGTACAGCACAGACAGCCTTTTCTGCAGTTTTACGCTTAACAACAAACAAACAAACCCACTTGAACATGGTAACAGCGTTTTGCTTGATTTGAGCTACACTCTCAGGCTGTGCTGAATAGTGAAAACAACAACAAAACGAACATTAAGGTTTAAACACTAGTGAATAGCTATAAACAGACGAAAACGGTATGATAATTTCTCATAGAAAATAAATTTTACTTCTATTGCTTTTCTTGCTAAATTAATGATAGGTACTGTTAAAACAATTCCCACTTTTTATACCTCTCGCGTGAAAAGGTGTTTGTAAAATTAATCATTTACTGAAGGCAAAACGTTTTAGTTAAATGAAAATCAAATAAACTTACCGTTCATTCGAACAAAAATATTCGAAATGAATTCTCAAACCGCGCGAGAAATACAATCCCATCGTAAGCAAAAATTCTTAGAATTATCATTCTGAAGTAATGTTTGTTTATTATTAAACACAAAGCTACACAATGGGCTATCTGTGCTCTGCCCACCACGGATATCGAAACCCAAAATTCAGTATTGTAAGAACGCAGACTTGCCGCTGATATACTGGTTGGGCAACCGATTACATATGGAATTAATGTGACGAATTAGTGTATAGAAATTGCAAGAGACATAAAAGTACATACATCTCTTTATGACGTTAAAACATCATACTTAGTATATGAGAATTTAAGTGATCAGCGCCTGTATTTTCACATGTAAATTATGAATTCTATCAGTTCTGTAGAGAGCGTTCGGAATTATCATTTTTAGAGTAGTGTTATTGTGAGTGCATAGCGCAACAGGATTTGGCGGATCCGTTTATAAATTTACACATTCATTTGTGATGTCAGTGCTCGGAACATCTATGATAATGAAAACCACAATTAACACATATTTTAAACGAAAGTGACTGAAGTGACACCTACAATTTATCATCTTTGTTATACCGACAGAATCGTTTCTTTTTGTATGAACACAGACGATAAAATGATCGTTATGATGACTTTGGTTCGAGACCTTGCTGGGGCTAAAAGTGTTGTACGTCATTCAACCAAGGAACATATTTTCTTTACAGTATGTTCTAAATTTCTGAGTCGTATGGTTGAATTTTAATATTAACTGCATATTATTCTAGTTTAAAGCATTTTTATGTACAACAATTGAACAAAAAATACGGCCTGGATAACTAGTGAACGAATATTTCCTGTAAAAATCTTATCAATGCTATAAGTGTAGCTACCAGTTTGGCCGCCAATTTTGATTTCATTCCTGCAAATCGCACTTTTTATTCACACCTAAGGTGTTTTTGATTAGATATACAGTTATTAAGCATGTCGCGGATGAAGCCACCATTCCCATCTGTCGCGACACGTCACTGAATTAACAAGTTCAAGTCGTTGTTTTAAAATGCGACTAACACTCAATATAACGTAATAATAACATATTCATCTTTCTCCTAGACTCTAGAGCATCATTATATATCACAATAATTTGTACAAGTTTAACGAATATAACAGGATAATGATTCATAGATATTATGTGCAATGCAGTCGAGATGAACCAGCATAAACTCGTGTTTTTGCATGCACTTTCAAATTTAGTCCTACAATGTTCCGATTTTTGACCCAATACGATATACCAATAAACAATAGTTCAACTTCTTTGTAACGTCGGTTTATTGAACACTTAAGAGGAATGAAAGGTTTGGGTTGAAAGAACGTAATTAGTTAACGTAAGACTTCTAGAATGTAACATCAGCTAGTTTTATACTTGTTCACGTTCTTATTCAGAACATGTATCAAGAAGAAGCCATAAGATTTAAGTCATGTTTTAATTGTGAGAAAACTTAAGAAATTGCACCCTGGTGCTAACTCGACAATGTATTTATTGAATTCAAGCTTTCAGGCTCATTTATGAGCTTTTCGTCTTTATGAGCTGTTGTGTCCCAGTTACTTATATGCATTGATTAAGAACTGATTTTATTTTCCTGTAACAGTTAGTTTGTTTGACTTGTTGGATTTACGTTTATATTAAACTTTTTTAATGTTCGGTATATTTGCATGTATGTAAATACTGTAAAATTTTCTATGTAGTTTTCCTTATAATTAATAATGTGTATAAATATGATTATTATGTTCACATAATTTGCTTCGAGCAGTAGACATCACTAACGTTTCGCAACATGGTTTGAATCTAGTACTGCAAATTACTAACGCTTCGTAACATGACTTGGATCACGCACTGGACATTACTAACTGTTCAAAATACGATCTGAATCGTGGTCTGGACATCACTAATGCATAGTATATGGCCGTTTTGAATGGGGCACTGGACATCATTAATGGTTCACTACAAGATTTAAGTCGAGCACTGGACATTACTGACACTTAAAAATGCGATTTAAATCGGATACTGAATGTCACTAACACTTTATAATATGATTTGAATCAAGCACTGGATACAATGAACGCTTCACAATCATAACTTAAATCGAACACTGGACATCATTATAGCTTCACAACAGGATTTGATTTGAGAAGTGAACGTCACTATCAGTTGACAACATAATTTGCATCTGGTAGTGGGTATTACTAACAATTCACAACGTGACTTGATTCGGGCAAAGGATATTGACACGTCACAATATGATTGAAATTGGAACCTAGACGTTAATAATGCCTGAAAACAGGATTTAATTCGGGCATTAGGAATCATTAACACTTCAAATCATGATTTGAATCTAGAACTGGGTATACATAACGATACACAACATAATCTGAAACGGGCACTAGATATCACTAAAGTTTCCGAACATTTGAATGGGGCACATTACAAACGCTTCACATTATATATTGGATCAGGCACTAAACATCACTAGCGCTTCAGAATTGACATTAAATGGCCACTAGGTATTCCTAACGTTTTACAACATGATTTGAATTGGGTATTGGACATCATTAACGCTTCACAATATGATTTCAGCCACGCAGAACATAAATACGGCTTACTACAAGATTTGTGTATCGTATCCCTAACGTTTTACAACATGATTTGAATTGAATACTGGATATTATTATCAGTTTAAAATATTATTTGAATCGAGGCCCTAAACATCATTAACGCTTCAGAATATGGTTTGAATCGGGCACTGTATATGAATAACGCTTCATAAGTTTTCGATCAGATTTTGGACATCACTCAGTAATGATTCACAATAATATTTTGAATCGGAAGACAGGATTTGATTGAGGAAATGTACGTCACTAACACTTGACAATATGCTTTGAATCGAGTAGTGGGTAACACTAACACTTTATAACATAATTTATATCGACTACTAGATATCATCAACGCTTCACAACATGATTTTTTATCGGGCACTGGACATCATTAGCACTTAACAATATGATATGGATGAGACACTAGATATTACTAACGCTTCACAACATGACTTGATTCAGATAAAGGATTTCACTAATGCTTCACAATATGATTTGAATCGACCTCTAGACGTCACTGACGCTTCAAAACATGATGTGATTGGGGAAATGAATATTACTAACACTTCAAAATATGGTTTGAATCGAGCTCTGGTTATTACTAACGCTTCACAATAGATATCAATGAAACACTGTATATCATTAACGCTTCACATCATAATTTGAATCTGCATTAGATATTAATAATGCTTTATAATATATTTTAAGTTTATAACTGGACATCACAAATGATTCACAACATGATTGGAATTAAGCAATGGACATCACTAATGCTTCACAACGTGCTTTGCATCGGGTACTGGACATCAAGAACATTAAAAACATGACTTACATCAGGTACTGGATGTTATTAATGTGCTTTCAAATATAATTCGAATCTATAATTGAACATTAGTAGCGATGTCACATCGGGCTATCTGCTGTGGCCACCGAGGGGGAATCGAACCCATTATTTTAGCGTTCTAAATCCGTAAACTTACCGCTGTCAGCCCGGACAATGGCGATGCACATCACGATTTGAATCGGGCAATAGATATCACTAACGCTTTGCAACATGATTTGAATCGTGAACTGGACACTTCTAACATGTCACAATAAATGTTAACATCTTGACATTAACGATTCACGAAATGATTTATATCGGACACTGGCTATCACTAACACTTTGCAATATGATTTGAATAATGAACTGGACATCACTACCGATTCACAACATGATTTGAATCACTAAAACTGCACAATATGAATCAAACACTGGAAAACACAAACACGTACTATATAACTCTTTTTCCGATGGTAATGTTGAATAATAGGTTTATAAGTTTATTCCCAAATGTAATGAAGAAAACATTCAACGATCTCAATACAGTGGCGGTAAAACGTTATACACAGGGACGGTTGGGCACCATATTGACCTAAATTAAAGAATAGGTTGAACAATCGCCAAGTGTTTTTGTGTAAAAAAGGATTATACTTCGAGCTAGCGTCAAATCGTACAGCTAACAACAAAGGCGCGTATTGATCTAGATTATTTTGACGGATGAACAAACCAGCATGTAGCTTTTGACAAGTGTGTTGAAAATGCTTAAATCTGTTGCCTTCAAATCACTTTGTTATATTCAATTATGCGACATTTTTTGTAACTTTATGATAACGGAGCATTGAAGCCAATAACTACGAGCTACACTATGTTATCACCAAGTAATTATAGGCCTATTAGTCTTACATCATTTGTGGGAAAGGTTCTGGAAAGTCTGATAAAAGATGCTTTGCAAAATTATTTAACAAAGTTTAGAATTTTATTGGATAGTCAAAATGGTTTCACCAAGGGAAAATCTTTTGACATTCTTTGAAACGATTACTGCTTATGTAGATGAAGGTAAGGATGTAGGTTTGGTGTATCTGGATTGTTAGAAAGCATTTGACAGTATTAAGTATAATTTGGATGGGAATGACCTTAGCAGTGTCACGAAAGAAAAGGATCTTGGTGTAATGGTTGATCAGTCTCTTAAGTCATCTAAGCACTGTGCTGTTGCTAGTGGAAGGGCAAATAGGATTTTATGTTGTATTTACAGGTAAGGTAAGGAGCCCAAAACTAAACACAATACTCCAAATGTGACCTAGTCAGTGACCTAACCTCTTTAGACTTGTATCCAAAATTACTGTAAATACAACTAAAATTCTCTTTGCCATACCACTAGCAAAAGCACACTGCTTGAATGAATTAAGAAAGTGGTCAACCATTATACCAAGATCCCCTTCTTTCATGACACTGTTAAGGTTATTTCCATCCAAATTATACATATAATTCAAATTATGATAACCCACATGCCTTATCTTGCATTTATTATAATTAAAACCCATTTGCTATTTATTCACCCAACTCACTAAATGATCTAAATCCTTTGTCAAAGCATCAGCATCCTCTTCACAGCTAGCAACATCAAATATTTTAATATCATCAGCAAATTTAAGTAATTTACTAACACTTCCTTCGTCTATGTCACTGATGGAAATTAAAAAGAGCAAAGGTCCTAAGACTGAACTCTGAGGTACCACACCTGTGATATTAATCCAATATGACTGAACTTCAGTTGTAAGAATCCTCTACTTTCTTCCATGCAGCCACTTTTCTATCCAATTAGCTAACGTATCTCCTACACCTATAGAGATATTTTTTAACAAGCCTTTTATGTGGCAACTTGTCAAATGCTTTCTTAAAATCCAGATGCACCAAATCTACTCCCTTACCCTCATCTACATAAGCAGTAACCTTTTACTATGTGTGTGTGTATTTTATTCTGTTTTAAGTCCTAGGTATTGTAAATATAGTTCTGAAACATGAACACCAGAATGTAATGAGAAGGAGTAACTCGAAGTTATATGGAATACGTTTGTTCATGTACAACCATATGTAAAGTATAGAGCTGGTTGTTAACTCTAATATAGGCCTAAAAACTTTTATTATCGTCCATTGGTGTGTAGTTATCCCACTTATTATCCTATTAAAAGATACGAGTGTACTATTTGACCTTACTTTTGAAAGAAGTGAGGTTTGATAAGTTATATGCTTGTGAATCTCTATGTTTAACTGTTTGATGACTTATGTAATGGTTGCAGTTAGGTGTAAAATTAATGAAGAGAATCCGTAAAGAATCTGTTTTGTTTACTCGTCAAAATGCTCAGCCTCGTTCTCGCGAAGACCTTGACATACCATATAAGGAAAATCATGTCCACGTGTAATTATTATAAGAGATTAGGCCTAAGTTTCAGCGAGCAAAATACAATTAAGCTATTATTTATAATCAGACACTATCAACTATGTTTCTTACCAAGAGGTTAAATGTATCATTGTTAACAACACATTTATTTATAAGCATACAAAATTAAATCTATGGTACTTACCAAATGATACAGTTTGTAGAATAAATTTTGATACGTATCTCAAGAAAACCGATGAACCGCATAAGTCTCAGAAGACAATGTGTTCTTCTACAGTACCGCATATGTTGTTACTATTGCTGTCATGTGATTACAGGTTTTAAGGGCAATTTCATATTACATTAGCTATCTGTTAGAGTTAAGGTAAGAGTTTTTGCAGTGTACCTACATATATATAGAACTAGATTCAATTACTTTGTGAGTCATTACATTGATTGTTGGTATTGTGGTACACAATGCTATTGTAAGGTTTAATAAAAAGAAGATAATCAAAACATACAATATTCCTATGCGATACTTCTCACTGACCTTGTTTTATCTTGTCCTTGACAGATATTTGGTTCCAAGGTGGATTTACAGTTTCATACTCACATTCATATGCGCGAGCCCAAACCTTATAAGTGCTCCCGGTGCTCCAAGGCCTTCGCCAATTCTTCCTATTTGTCTCAGCATACCCGGATCCATCTTGGTATCAAACCTTACCGCTGCGAGCTTTGTCAGCGAAAATTTACCCAGTTGTCTCATTTGCAGCAACACATCCGGACTCACACCGGTGACAAACCGTATAAATGTCGTCACCCTGATTGTAATAGGGCCTTCAGTCAACTCTCCAATCTTCAGTCTCACTCTCGCGGCCACCAGAAAGACAGGCCCTACAAGTGTCACAGCTGTTACAAGTGTTTCGCCACTGAAGACAGCCTGTTGGAGCATATCCCTAGACACAAAGAATCCAAACATTTGAAGATCCATATCTGTATGCATTGTGGGAAATCCTACACGCAAGAGAGCTTTCTTTCCAAACACATGCAAAAGCACACTAGTTGTTCGAAAAAGGAACGACACTCGCCAGTTGAAAAAAGTCCAGATTTAACACCATTCACTTTTCCTGGTCGTATTCCCGTAGAAAACTTGCGGTCCAGCAACGTTTCATGTACATCAGGTTGTGATCCTTCCTCCTTAGAAGTGACTAATCACTCTGCTGTCCCACTTGTGTCCGAGTCTGCACTAAAAAACAACTTCGGCTACATAGCGACATTCAAGATAGTCCATTATCGATTAGAGGAATAACAGTTAGTAACCAAGCTAACAATACAGCTACTCAGAACCATTCTGAATCGACTCACAGTGGTCCGTTACAATTGTCTCAGATGGCTCATGACACTTGCTCCCTCTCTGCATCCATCACTGAGACGAGTTCCACTTTTACAACGGTCCAGCCCTGTATGATGCCAACCTCCTCGGGACACCAGCTATCTTTGGCCGAATCTTCTTTACGACACATACAATATGAACCTGTCGACATCTCCAAAAACAGATTTCCTATAAAGAAGAGCCAGAATAGTTTTCCTAAACAGCTAATAGCTTTACACCAGATTAGGAACTACGCTTCCATGCCTACAAGAGAACGTCCCAATGCTTTGAAAGAAAATATTTAACAGTAGCTGCTTGTTCATATCATATTTGGTTAACGACTTGATAGCTAAGACACAACGTACACTAAGACGAAATGGTAGACTGGACACAAGAAAGGAGTGCAAGAGAGATAACATTTCTTCCATAGTTGAACTGAATGCCCGCTGGTAGCTTAGCGATAAGTCTAAAAGACTTATAACGCTAAACTTCAGGGTTCCATACCCATGGTGGACACAGTGCAAATATCCCATTGTGTGTGTATCTTTGCACTTTAAATCCAACAAACAACTGTAAATATATGTTTTCGGCTGCCTTTTTCAAAACCTTTCTCGTAATGACAGTCGAAAGACTAGAAATACTTACAAAAGTTGTCGTTAGGATTATTGTGATATTGGAACAACTGAAAATTGGGAAGAATTTAATTGTTGTTTTTTTTGTGTCTTTTAATTAATAATAACTGATATGTGCATAATATAACAAAGAACGTGAACCTTTCTCTGCTCAACAAACTTCTGTTTTTGTTTATTGGCTTTCTTTGTAGTGCTTAAGTCTTTAACGTGCAGTTAATGTCAGAAATGTCGACTAGTGTTCACCCCTTACATTTGATGAGGTTTTGACAGCCACAGGCAGATATTCTTCAGCTAAGTCTTATATTCTATTGCAACTGAAAAGTCTTACGGCAAAGCCAAGGTTTTCATAAACATCTGCTTCAAATTAGATGCATGTTTTATATTCCAGTGACTCTGTTTATAATTATAACTGAAATAGACGTCATTTCATATTATTTGTCTATTCTCTTTTCTCTTGTTACATATAATTTAGACAGTCATAACTGACTGTTATTTGTATATTTACACTTTTTCAACAATGAATGTGTAAACATAAGTCATGATTCACAATAAGTTTTCTCATACAACATGTGTCTAGACTTAGAAAAGGTGTATTGTGTTTTTCACTGAAATAAAACAATGTGTGTGTGTGTGTGTTAGCTGAAAATTTAAATTATTAGAGATAAAATAATATTATCCTATTGCCTGATATTGTTGCAATTTTTTTGCGTTGAAAGGACAGCGTCCCGTGTTTAGATTATCTGTTAACCCATATGTTTAACTCTTCTCTAATATCCATTCCCAAAAATATCCGTGAGCGATAAAACTTCAACTAATGACAGCGCCCATAAAAACAGTGACTTAATTTATATATATGTTTAACTCTCATTAATTTCAAATAAGGGCATTGTACAAAACCAACTGACAAAAAATTTGCCAGTTCTATAACGTATCTAACTTATAATATTTGTATTTCATCTGTATTCCGGTTACCTAAACGATTGTCATGCCCCGTGTAAAACACCGACAGATGCCAGTACATAAAGCATGGAGATGTTCCAGGTATCGGGATTTAGGTCTTGTAGACATGGGAGGGTCAGGTTCAAATTGACCTGTTCCTCCCTCCTGTACTATCTTGATTTGTATTGTTCTTATTGACTTTATGACTATTGTATTTTGTGTTTTCATTTTTGTTTGCTTATTTATTGTCTTCTTCTCAGAGCCATGTCCATGTATTTTATCTAATTTCTGTTGTGTCTTGTGTTGTAGAGCTCATGAACTGTTTTATTATGTACGGGGTTATTGGTATATGGCGATATTTATGATTAGTGTGATGCAGTCTTCTTGAGAGTTTTGATATTGTGTAATAAAATCATAAAATGTTTTTTGACAGCTTCGATGATTAGATTTGATGTTTGTTCTTGACTGTTTTGTTCTTTACTCTCTCTGTGTCGGCATCGGGATTTGGTCATTTAAGACCTGGGAGGGTCGGGTGCGTTTGACCTCTTCCTCCAGTATGGAGATCAAACGATTTGGTTTTGAATTTCGCGCAAAGCTACACGAGGGCTATCTGCGCTAGCCGTCCCTAATTTAGCAGTGAAAGACTAGAGAGAAGGCAGCTAGTCATCACCACCCACCTGGAGATCAAACAACAGGTAAAAGAACAAGACACAAACATGTTTTATCTAAATGAGTTAATCTTTACTGAAGTTTAACTGTGTTATTTATATCTTTGATGTAATAATGGTGGGTTGTCAACCTTTTAAACTTAGTAATATTTTGAATCGAGAAAAATCAATACTACTGTTAGAGACAGGATTGATGGTTAACCGAATAGAAGTAGGTGGTGTCAACTATTCAGACGAATTATAAAGTAAATAATGTCTGATGTGGATCAAGTGTACAGTCTATTTACTATAATCCTATTCATCCTGTCATTTATGGTGGAATACAGCTTTCATTTATATCTTTCAAGCATTAGGTAAACCCATTGCTTTAAAACGAGTCAGAGTGGGCGATCATGTACGTATTAGTAAATTGAAGCGCCAGTTTTTAAGAAAGGCTATATGCCTGGATGGACAGATTAAATCTACATTATTCATAAGAGACTGGAGAGAAATTCCCCATTGTACAAACTACAATATTATCTTGGAGAAATCTTAAGTGGAACATTTTATGAATTTGAACAACAATGAATAATCAAGTCGCCCAACTATGTTTACGCCGTGGAAGAAATACTAAAACTAAGGGGTAAAAACAAGCAGTATTTCGTAAAATGGAACTGATATCCTGAAAATTTAATAGCCGGATTCCTCAATCACAATCATCTGTCATCAGAAATTATTAAGCACAACAGAGGTATTCATTATTCGATATGAATCAACTGTGACGTTAGTTAGTAATACTTTTATGAACTATTTTACCAACGATAATCTGACGAATTATGTCGTTTTCCTTCCGAGATCTATAGATCTTGAAGGTTCGTGGAAAGTGGCCTTAGCCGTATTACAGAATCCTCATGGGTTGCATAATGTGCTTGATCGTACAAAATATTTTTCATACTTTATAGGCTCTCTGATTGCTTCTGTAATCAATTATTTTAGACCTGAAGATTTAATTAGAATCTTAAACCTAGTATAAAAATAATTTCCTGAACCCACAATGAACATATATTTACTTATGATTCGTTCACAAGAAAAGTATGTGTTAACGAGAATAATGAAGCCTCCATAACACTCGTCTTGTTCTGTCAGTATTATTTGGATTTTATAATAATCGTATTATAACCGGGTCCACTATAGCTCCATACACTGCTAACATGTATGGTGAATTCTATTCACACTATGTATACACAGACATCGTGTAATCTAGTGCCACTAATATTAATCATTCAAATCAAAGGTCAAGATTGAGATATGATCACTGAAACGTTTACAAAGCCTCGTTATAGATCCGATTCTGAACAAAGTTTTCAGACTATCGAGATCAATACAAAGGACGACATGGGCTAGCGTTATGAGTCCTCCAACTTACCGCTGACCCACCGTTCAAGGGGTATGCTTATTATCAAATGATTAATGGACGACAAATCATTATCGTAATTTACCTCTTTTAAATATGCGTATTTCTCTAGGTGAATCAAAATGGACGCAGGTTTTGTACATCAATGGATGTTGCCATGGGGGAGGGAGTCACCAGGTGCATTGACACTAAAACCTCCGGACAGAATGTTGTTGAAATTCCTTCTTTCTTATCTCTTCAAGTTCAATATAATATATTCAAGATATGAACAATCTGCTTATTTTGAATGACTACTCGCAGTACAATGCACATTGGTCTCGAGAGTATGTAACTTTGGTTTTCATTAACGATTCTAAATAACATAACTTTATCAGTATTTCTGGCTACTTTGCTTATGATTTTTTCGAAGCAATAGTTGATTTTGATTTGACTTATGATGAAGCCCCCCCACACTTCTAGTTGCCCAGCAGTAAGCCTGAAGGTTTATAATGCTAAAAACTGGGTTTCGATACCCGTGGTGGGCAAAGCACAAATAGCCTACTGTGTAGCTTTTGTTCTTAACAATAAACATCCAAACTCTAGATATTCAAATATCTATACACTAACAATTTTCGAAGTCCTGAAAAGGACTATTTATTGTTGCTTTATACACAAAATGCTCAAACTCAAACAGTATTAGATTCGAGCATTTTTTTGAACATCGCTAACAATTCACAACATGCTTCGTATCAATTTGTTGGCATCACTAAAGCCTCAAAATTATTTGGATTGCACATTGGCTATTACTAACGCTTCACAACATGATTTGAATGAACAAAGGATATAAGTAACACTTGTCAACAATATTTGAATTGTACAATGTGCACCAATTACACTTTACAACAATATTTGAATTGTACAATGGGCACCAATTACACTTTACAACAGTATTTGAATTGTACAATGTGCACCAATTACACTTTACAACAAGATTTGAATTGTACAATGTGCACCAATTACACTTTACAACAAGATTTGAATCGGATATTGGACGTTCCTAATGCTTTTAAGGGGATTTGAATCGATAACTGGATATTAATAAATCTTCACAACATAATTTGAATTGAGCATTGGAAATCACTAACACCTTCCGATATGCTTGGAATTACTTTGTGGTTATCACTAACGATTTACATGATTTGAATCGGGCACTTGAAAATATATCAGTCAGACATTAGCTATCGCTAGTGCTTCAAAATAATATTTTTAATCTGGCACTGGACACCAATAACACTTCACAATATGTCTTGCATCAATCACTGGACATCATTAATGCTTCAAAGTACAGTTTACTTCATGCACCGAGCATTACTAACTCTACACATTATATTTTGAATCAGGCACTTCAAAATATAATAGTTTAAATCCACACTAATGGAATAATGCCAAATTTATATGTATACTAGTTTCGACATTACTGATGTCCTCTTCTGTTCAACATTTGTTTGAGGGGGAGAAACATACAATGCTTATTTATAACGGAAGTTCCAATTTCTTGAACGGCATATAACGTCAGAAAGGAGTTCAACTTAAAAAAATGACCTTTACATGTGTTGAAGTTTGGCAACCTTTGAATTAACGATCTTCTCAGAATTCTTCTTCTGATATAATTCGTAGTTCTATCTATTAGCTTGGCTGATTCCCAGCTTATTTTATGATCAAATTCTCGTATATTCAGAAAAATAACGTAGACGGTGCTTCTACAGGCAGATAGTGTTACTAACACACACACACACATATATATATATATATATACTGTAGTATAATTGAATACAGGTTTCACTTTTATATTTAATTTGCATGGCACACTTTTACATTTTCTGATGTTTTATGTGTAAAACACGTATCGCTAATTCATTAGTTTTCATTTCTATAATTAATGTATTGCATATCATCTATTCACCTTGAAAAGGACGTTCTTCTGCTTGAAAATAACCACATACGATGATTTTAGTACATTACATTTTTTACTCTATAATGAATAAGGAATTCAAACATGTTACATATTTTACATTTTCAAACAGATTCTTTCACTTGTATAAAACCCAATAACTACGCGGCCAAAGGGGAAAGCATAGACAAGCACTACCGTAGTCGGTAAGTTCCCTCCAATAGTAGGGTAGCAAACACATGGTACTCCTTGAAAGTTCAGAGATGTAAAACAAACAAAAATACAAACGAAGTTAGCACAGTTCTATGCTAAACGAAAACGTACGAGACTTTCTTGAATATCCGAATGTACAGCAATAAGACTGATAACATTTCTTTACAAATCTTTCTTTACTGACCCTCTACTACTGATTCCAATTAGAAGAAACGTAATAGCATCTGGATTACATGCACAAATTTGTCCTTTTCGTCATTGATAAGTCATCTTGCAAGTTTTCTATAAATGTTTAGTTATAAACCTAAACAACTGATCTAAGATCGTAATCACCTATCTAATACTTGAAGTTTTGTTAATAGGCATTAGAAACATTCAGTTCATGGGTCTAATTGAGTAGAAAGTATACAAGATTTGTACACTAACTGATATATACTGGACTTGTATGAAAGTTAATTTTGACAATCCAGTATCGTATTGCTCATTATTTTTTTCAATTTGTGTTATTTATTTAATTAATAAACAGAAATCAAATATTTTGTGAAGAACTTTGTTATTGTTATTCTAAAAATACGTAAAAACAGTCAGTAAAATTAGAGACGAACTGGATCTTTTTGACTTACTTTCACAGGACGTTGCTACCAGGATTAGAAAGAGAAACCTATGTTTATACATTTCACCTCTACTGATGAAAAGGTTACTCACTTTTAATATTTACAATGAACATCAACATTAATCTAATGTGTGAATTTTCTCGCACGTTTTCAATGAATGATTAGCTATAAATTTGAACTGTTGATTTAAGATCATAATCTCCTATCCTACACTTAAAGTTTTGTGAATATATGTTTAAAGTGTGTGTGACAACAGTCATATTTAGAGTTTGTGATTTAACTTACGTACATTGGTAGCATATTTATACGAGACTTGTATTATCCAGCATTATGCATAAAGTTCCAAACCAGCAAGAAACAAGCTCCAGACAAATATTTGTAAAAGGTAAGGATATAATTGTCTACAGTAGTAATGGTTAAACATATTTACATAACACTTTTATAACTAAACCTTAGTGAAGAAAAGCAACCTATAAAGTTAAACATAAAAACTAAATTATTGTATATAATTGAGACAAGTAAGTAAACGTCCTTATCAGGGTGGACAAGTGTTATACAATATATTAATTATACAAATGAAACGAGTGAATTAGCAATACGTG